TAGTGGGTTTGGTTTGTGATAACTGATTTTCTTATCAAGTGATTGAAATTACTAAATTGAGTAATTTCTTATGCTATGTACACACGTTCTTACAAGAAAGCAGAAAATAAATCTATGCTTGTTGTCACTATATTAATAACTGTCACATAACAATAATTGATAGATCTTGGGTTCCTCCTTTGTAATAATTCTAGTGCTTCTTTAAGCATATCATGGGATTAGCAGCTGTCATCAGTTAGAACTTGAAATAGATTCGGTTACAGGAGTGGAAGTTGAGCCAGGCATTTAATGCCGCTTTCACCTGTAGATGAGAGAGAAGAGGAAAAGAGAGATCATTATTTATGGTGTTACGTGAACTTTAAGTCTGTTTCCATCATGTGGAAAAGCTGGTCTTTAAAGGTGAAAGAGACAGGGAATACACTTTCATGAATATATTTGAGGTCTAAATAAAGTAAGAATTTACTTCTGAACATTTGAACATTTCAAATGAAAAAAATTAACCCTTTATGTTAAATTCTATGAACAATTTGCTTTTAACTTGCATACGTGTATGTCATACAGAAAAACATAGCCATGGTAAAAAGCAGACCAGTTCTGTTTCAGGAAAGACAGGAATTGATTATTGATTTTAGTGCCTGGTACTCGATATGTTGTTATTGTTATCATCAGCAGGAGTATTAGAATGTGATGTTGACAAGGTCAGATTAGGTGAGATTGTTCAAAGAAAGCTGGTGGAATGAAGGGGAGGGATAGAGTTAAACGGGGGAAGAAAAGCCTTCAAAGGAATCTGAAAAGAAGCAACTGGAGAGGTAAGATGAGACCATGAAGCCTGTCAAGAAGGAAGGAGCAGTCAGAGTTGAGAGAAGACGAGGCAGTTAAGGACTGAGAAGCACCCTTTGGATTCCAGAACCAGGAGGACCTGGGCGGCCTTAATGGAAGAATTTTACTGGATCCATATTGTTTCTGACCCTACCATTCACACTGTGATCTTATAAACCAAGGATGGATGTGCAGTAGAAAGTGGAGCCAGCAAGTAGTTTACCTTGTGTTGTTGTTGTTGTTTGCTGTCGAGTCGGCCCCGACTCACAGCGACCCCTCCTTGGGTTTCTGAGGCAGTATCACTACGGAAGTAGGATTGCCCAACCTTCCTTCCGAGGAGTGGCTGGTGGGTTTACCTTGTAGACATTGTGTAAGGAAGAAGAGTTGTGCCTAGGGGAAGTTGGACATCAAGGGGGAAAATAATATAAATATGAATACAAATATATATGTATATATTTATTTATTTATTTGGGATGAGAGAGACTTTATTTACTCTTTAAAAATATTTATTGAGTGTCAGGCACCGTGCCAGACACTGAAGATACAGTGATGAAGAAGGCAGAGGCATTCATGGCTGTCACGAGTTTCCCCGCTGCGGATTCATGCAGACCCAGACAAATGCTTGAGAGACTGGAGTACCAGGAGCAAATGAATTAATGTGAGGTCCTGAGATCCTGTAGATAACCTAGCTTTGAACAGAAGGGCTTTTTCACTCAGTAGGACAGTGAGGGTACATCAAATGCAGTTGTTGAAGGTTGAACGGGAATGTACTTGAGAGTTTGGGTCTGGTAGTAACAACACCTTCTATTGACGATGTTGAATAGGAAAATTAATTAACAGCTATCTTACTTTGATTTTAATGTTTTTCTTAAACCAAATGATAGCCATCAAAAACTTGACCCAAACTGCAAAATCTGCCAGAAATTGTTCTATAGCAATGTCAGTTTGTCTTAATCAAGGATAATTGTCAAACCTTTACCTCCTAATTTAAATTTCAAAAGACCTCATGGCTGCAATGTGTTATCAATGAATGTCGGTAAACAGGGAAGGCAAGGTTCCATCAGTCATGTTAAGATTAACCAATGGTATATAGGAGCCCTGGTAGCATAGTGCCTAAGGTATTTGACTGCTAACCAGAAGGCTGGTGGATTTGAACCACCAGCCACTCCTTGGAAGGAAGGTTGGGCAATCTACTTCCGTAGTGATACTGCCTCGGCAACTCAAGGAGGGGTTGCTATGAGTCGGGGCGACTCGACAGCACATAACAACAACAACAACAATAGTACCTAAGGCATTTGACTGCTAACCAGAGAGTTGGTGGTTCAAACCCACCAACCACTCTGTGGAAGGAAGACAGGGCAATCTACTTTCCTAAAGATTTATGGCTTCAGAAACCCAATGGGAGTTGCTGTGAGTTGGAATCAACTCGATGGCAGTGGGCTTAGGCTTCTCTTTATAAGCACCATTATACCTAGCATCTTTGACCTATTTGCTTTCTCTGGCATCAAAATGACTCAGATTTCCCAGTAGAGATATCTCTTGAGATGAGTTAGTGGACAAGCAGGAGAATTGTTCGATTTAAAAAGAAATCCAAATCTGCAAAGGCACGGAGACATTATAAACTTGATGAATTCAGGCAAATAGATGGGAACTGCAGATTTTGTGCATGGCTGGAGTGAAGGATAAATTTGTGTGAGGAGCAGGAAACCTGACTAAAAGGGGGTAGAGTGAGCCAGAAAGTAAAGGACCTTATGTGCTAATACAGGGAGTTTGAATTTTATCCAGGAAAGTGTTGGAGAATTTTAAGCTTCAGCATGAGGAATCACATTTGTGCTTTAGAAAGATTACACTCAAAACTGAGGAAACAGTGGTGAGTGACTGAGAGGTTCCTGGCTGGATGTGTCATTCACTGAGGGAACACATGAGAAGCTGATTGGGAGGAAAGTTTTTGAGTTCAATTTTTTGGATGTGTTGAGCAGGAGCTCTGGTAGTGTAGTTGTTAAGGGATTTGGCTGTTAACAAAAATGTTGGTAGTTCAAACCCACCAGCCACTCCACAGAAGAAAGATGAGGCAGTTGGCTTCCATAAAGATTCACAGCCTTGGAAACCCAATGAGGGTGGCTATGGGTCAAAATTGACTCGATGGCAGTAAGTTTGGTTTGTTCTTTTTATATGCATACAGAATAACTGCTCAGAATAAATTTCAATTCAAATTTTAGTGAGTTTTGGTTAATTTTTCACAGTGGGTAGAGGTAAGGTGTTGGGGACAGGGCTTCTAGTACATGAATTAAATGAAGCAATGTTTGTAAGAGTTTTTAGAACTTACGGGTGCTGATGGGAGCTCTGGTAGCATAGTACCTAAGGCATTTGACTGCTAACCAGAAGGCTGGCAGTTCAAACCCACTAGCCACTCCTCGGAAGGAAGGTTGGGCAATCTACTTCCATAGAGATACTGCCTTGGAAACCAAGCAGGGGTCGCTGTGAGTCGGATCTGACTCGCCGGCAGTGTGTTGCATTGTTGCATTGTACAGGTGCTGATGGGGCAGTGGTGGTTCAGTGGTAGAATTCTCATCTTCCACGTGGAAGGCCTGGGTTTGATTCCCAGCCAGTGCACGCTATGCACAGCTCCCACCTGTCTGTCAGTGGAGGCTTATGTTTTGCTATAGAGCTAAGCAGGTTCTAGACTAAGGCAGACTGAGAAGAAAGACCTGTCTACTTCCAAAAATAAACCAACGGAAACCCGCGGCTTCAAATGGTTCGACCCACAACTGATCATGGGGTGCAGGACCAGACAGCCTTTGGTTCCCTTGTGCATGGGATCAGCATGAGGCTGAGGCTGGTCGATGGCAGCTAATAACAACAACGGGCACTGAGTAAGCGTTAAAACCCAAAACGAAACTCACTGCAATCGAGTCAGATCTGACTCATAGAGACCCCTCCTTGGGTTTCTGAGGCAGTATCACTACGGAAGTAGATTGCCCAATCTTCCTCCCGAGGAGTGGCTGGTGGGTTTGAACAGCCAGCCTTCTGGTTAGCAGTCAAGTGTTTTGGCACTACACCACCAGAATCCCCTGAGTAAACGTTTATGGTTCATAAATTTGTGACTCAGAATCTCTGAACTACCTCAAGGAGAGCCTTTTTAGGTTTAAGAGGTTAAAATCGATAAGGTCAGTTAAGAAGTGTTCTGGCTAGGTAGACTATGATAATGGATAAAAACCAGAAAAACTGACATGTTGCCATTGAGTCAGTTCCACCTCATGGTGACCCCGTCTATTACAGAGTCGAGCTGAACTCCAGGGAGTTTTTTTGGCTGTAATTTCTTTACAGAAATAGATTGCCAGAACTTTCTTTCACAGTGTCATTGGTGGGTTCCAACTATCAACCTTTATGTTAGTACCTTAGCTTACCTGCTGCCATTGAGTCAATTCTAACTCATAGCGACCTGCTAGGACAGAGTAGAACTGCCCCATACAGGGTTTCCAAAGCTGAAATCTCTATGGAAGCTGACTGCCACATCTTTCTTCGGAGGAATGACTGGTGGGTTCGAACCGTCAGCCTCTCAGCAGCCAAGTGTTTTAACAACTGTGGCACCTGGTCTCCTTTTTAGCTTCATAGTCAAATGCAAGCAGTTTATGCCACCCAGGGACCATGATGATGGGTAGCTGATATTTTTTCTTATGAGATTTTCTTTTTAAGGTGTCTTTTGTACTGAATTTGATTATCTTAAAAGCAATTTCTTGAAGTATGTGATAAATAGTATAGAAGTGTTTAAAGCTGTCAGGACATGCCGTATTGTTTTCCATGGTGATTGACTTTGTTGGCTTCTATGAGGCTTGTGTTTAACAGTCATTTCCTGGTGGGATTTTTGGGAACTGTAGTGAGTGTGACAGTTATGTCATTGCCAGGTTTTATATGTAATACAATTTCAAGAACACTCTTTCTAGGTGGAACAGCTTATTGGAATGGATATTCATGTCTAACTACACTTGGATTTTTAGACTTTCAAGTTCTTTCTGAAATATTATCTCTTCGGAAGTAGCTATTGCTGTGACTCCATTAAATTCTAATGCCTCTCTTTTTCTCCCCCCAGAATTCTTCTTCGAAAGTGTGTAAAGTAATTTCTTGGTTTGAAACAGAAAAGCAGGAGGGACGTTTTGCTGGCTTTCCAGGCCTTTCCCAAGATGGAACCGATAACATTCACAGCAAGGAAACATCCATTCCCTAATGAGGTCTCGGTGGACTTTGGCCTTCAGCTGGTGGGCTCTTTGCCTGTGCATTCTCTGACCACCATGCCCATGCTGCCTTGGGTTGTGGCAGAAGTGCGAAGACTCAGCACCTCCAGAAAGGAGCCTGTAACCAAGCAAGTACGGCTTTGCGTTTCACCCTCCGGTTTGAGATGTGAACATGAGCCCGGAAAAAGTCAACAATGGGATCCCTTGATCTGTTCCAGCATATTTGAGTGTAAGCCTCAGCATGTTCACAAACTGATTCACAACAGTTATGACCCAAGTTACTTTGCCTGCCTGGTTAAGGAAGATGCAACCAGCCAGCAGAGTATCTGTTACGTATTTAAAGCTGATGATCAAACAAAAGTAAGTTAAGCTGCCCAGTGATGTCACTAAGGGGTTATGCATGTATGTGTGTGTGTATGTGTGTGTGTCTGAGGTGGGGGAGGGGTGGGATGTGGACTGCATTGGGTGACACTGTCAGAGGAGATGACACCAAAATGACTACCTATAAAATTTTAGTTCATTGTTTCAGCAGAAATGTATTTTTTTTTTTTTTTATTAGGATTTGGGTGAAGATTTACAGAGTAAATTCACTTTTCATACAGCAGTTCACATATACTTTGTCTCATGTCATTGACCAAAATTTACAATGCAGCAGCTCCCCTCCCACTTCCTCCCCATAGTTACCTCCTCCCAGTGTCCATTCCTTCATACTCTTCTGCACCCTGAGAGGCCCATTGTCTGCCAACCCTGTATATGATCTTGGATACACTCTCCATTTAGACATACATAATTGTTTAGCTTGTTCACCCATCTATCCGTCCCTATACCCATGTTTGCTTTCATTGAGAAATGTATTTTTTGTTAAAACATTCCTATAGTTCTAACAGGGAGCTCTGGTAGCACAGTGGCTAAGGCACTTGACTGCTAACCAGAAGGCTGGTGGTTCAAACCTACCAGCCACTCCTTGGAAGGAAGATGGGGCAATCTACTTCCGTAGTGATACTGCCTCGGAAACCCAAGGAGGGGTCACTATGAGTCAGGTGTGACTCGACGGTACATAACAACAACAACAACATAGTTCTAACAACAAAACCATTCTTTGTAAGCCTGGCTTACCGAGCCAGAACCCTTGCCGTGGAGTCAATTGCCACTCATAGCAACCCTACAGGACAGAGTAGAACTGCCCCATAGGGTTTCCAAGATTGTAAATCTTTACAAAGCAGACTGCCTTGTCTTTGGTCTCTGGAGGTAGCTGGTGGGAGCTGCTGACTTTTTGGTTTTAACTACTGAGCGTTTTAAGTACTGTGACATCAAGGCTTCTTAAGCCCAAGTTACATGTATCAGTATACTTACAAGGGTAAAATTCTAATTTACTTTTTGAACCTTGTACTGTCCTTGGAAGGAAGGTTGGACAATCTACTTCCTTTGTGATACCGCCTTGGAAACCCAAGGAGGGGTTTCTATGAGTTGGGACTGACTCAATGGCACATAACAACAACAACACACTGTACTCTGGTCAGAGCTGTCATTACTGTCCAATTATAACGACACTTGGAATCATGTGGATTGGTCTGTACCATACAAGCACACCCCGGTGTGTTCTTTGCTGCCCTTGTTTTTAACAGTCACTCATTTTATCAAATTTTCTGATTTTTTTTGTGGTAATATTGTAATAATGAGTATTTGCGAACCTGTATCAACACTATTTTGAGAATGAAGTAGTAATTAAAGGAAAAGAAGGATAAAAATAAAAGGGTTCCACTCAGTTACTAATTTTGTAACTGATAATGCTGTAATTCAAAGTAGAAAGATTTTATAAAACAATGTTGTTGTTGTTGTTCATATAATCTAAGAAATATTGCATTTAAGCAATTTACAACTATATCACATATTATCTATGATTAAAATTGATAATAAACCTTACTAAGGATTTTGTATGGTACAAAAGGAAGTTCATGGGGAGAGGTGGTACTATGAGTTACCACACTGGGTGACACCAACCCTGGTGACAGTAACCCTAGTGATGCCACTGGAGCTGGGGGTCCAAGAGTATGGTGTGGTGGGAGTTGCAATTGTATTTTAAATGTACTGAATGAACAAAAGAGACAATGCTTTATTTATATGAGGTGATTTCACTGGAGTTTTGGTTTTAGGAGGTAGTTCGTTATAGTTTGAAGAACATTTGAGAACAGATATTAGAAATTGTCAGTGTAGGAGTTCAAAGATTCAGCACAGAGATCTGTCTAAAGTTGTAAGTAAGAGCTGAAGTGTTAAGGCCCAAGGGTTCATGTTATTTGAATGTTCTAAAGCTGGACTTCTCACCCTGAAATGTGCATTTGAATCAGAATCACCTAGGATTTTGTTAAAATGCAGGTTCTGATCCAGTGGGTCTAGTGTGGACCCTCAAAAAAAAAACTAACTCACTGCCATCTAGTCGGATCCGACTCATAGTGACCCCTCCTTGGGTTTCCGAGGTGGTATCATTACAGAAGTAGATTGATTGCCCAACCTTCCTTCTGAGGAGTGAGTGGCTGGTGGGTTTGAACCACCCGCCTTCAATTTCTAACGAGCTCCCAGATGATGTTAATGTTCTTGGTCACAAATTGTACTTTTTGATCTTATTAATAAGAATGTATTTATTTATGAATTGTATAAAAATACATTAGCTAATTTCTCAAGGCATAGTGCTCACTTGGGCAGAGGCCTTTGACTAACAGTGATTATGAGTCTATTTCAAAGGTATATATAAAAGGCACCTAACAACAACAACAACAACAACAACAATTTAAATATGAACTAGAGTGACATGTACCAACATGAATAATTCTCAAACTTACAATATTGAGAAAGAAGGAAAGTTGAAGGGTGCTTTTTGATATTTGTTTTAAACAGTTAAACAAAAACATACAAATAATGTATACAGTTTATGAATCCCTAGTTATATAGTAAATGTTCCCGAATGGGTAAAAAAAAAAAAAAAGTATAGATAATTTCAGGGCTTTTTTTTTGCCAACTTCATGTCAGATCTGATTAGACACAATGTTTCACCTTGTGATATATGAGAAGTGTTAAATGTGTCGTCGGCTCTGCTATTTTCCTGTTCATTTGTGCTTGCTTTGTTATTAGCATTAGTTGTAGTTCTGTTCAAGACTCGTTTAAAGACACTTGCCATTTTGTGAGCATTACTTTAGATAAAATTGAAAATATAATATACAGCTACTTTCCCCATTGGTCCCATGGAAACTGTAAATTTGGTCCAGTGTGTAGAAATCAAACAGGTGAAAAAAGTCAGATCTGACTTATAGTGACCCCTCCTGGCGATTCCGAGGTGGTATCACTACAGAAATAGATTGCCCAATCTTCCTTCAGAGGAGTGGCCAGTGGGTTTGAACCGCCAGCCTTCTGTTTAGCAGAGCTCCTCATGAGCTGAGGAATCCCAATTTTGCCTAGGGTACCTTGCATGGCACGGATGGGAGATGCCAGGATGGGAGATGCCAGCGTTAGGAAAGCCTAAGATTCTCAGCTTTTTGGAATTTAAAATATAAATGGAAATGCTAATGTTTTCTCCTTGCACCCCACTGGGTTATTTTGCATACCCTCCTGTGTGTAGAAACTTCATTTGGGAATTAATGTTCTTGATGACCACGTAAATCTCTGGAGACTACTTCTTTTGTTTGTTCATCCTCGATTCATTGGTTTACTCATTCAATCAGTGATTGCTGCTTCAGTTCCTGCAAGAGAATATTAGTACCATGCAGTCTGAAGGTGGAAGCCTCAGTAAGTAAACACCACGTGGTCCATGCTCCAAGGCATGACAGGAGGCAGGTTAAATGGGGCCTAACACAAACCACAGTGTAGCAAGCTTTTTTGAAATAAAGGCTGATGAGCTCACAAACGCTGTTTCTCCTGTAGAATTGGAAGTCTTGTTATTATAAGTCATTTAACGTTATTGTTCATGCATCTCAAATGGGCAGTATGACGTGGCATTTCAGAGATTTCGAGGGGTAAACTACCTGGATTCTGACTCTAGCTCTGCCATTTGTGAACTGAGTGGCCTCCGGCAACTGAGCCTGTTTCCTCACCTGTAAAGTGGGTACGGTATTTGGCTGCTAACCAGAAGGTCAGTGGTTCAAACCCACCAGCTGCGGCATGGGTGGAAGATGAGGTAATCTACTTCCTTGAAGATTTACAGCCTTGGAAACCCTATGGGAGTCGCTATGAGTAGGAATCGATTTGATGGTAGTGGGTTTGGTTTTTGGTATCTCGTAGAATTGCTGGGAGGACTAAATGAGGTAGAACAGGACATAGAAGATTATGGCCATAAGAAATTTTCATTCAAGTAAATTTTACTGGAAGCAGATTATATGCTAATTTCACTCAAAGTCTTAGTTTAAAAGAAGAAGAAAGAGACAGAGATGAATATCAATATCTTCAGTTGTCAGGATGAGATCCTAGTTATCCTTGAATAAAATTTTATAAACAGACACTTGAAAAAAACTTCATGGAAAAAACCCTAGTGGTTTCTATTATTTGGGTACATTCCAGTATGAGCATCCGAGAGTTGAACAGTCTGTACTCTCGGCAAGCTCTGTGCCAGTACCCAGTTTCCTGGAGGAGAGTCCTTCCATGGAATAGTTGTTCAGAACTTTCCACTTTTGACTCTTTCCCAAAATCTTTTACAGTCATCTGAAAACAAGCTTTTGGCTGGTCATTCAGAGAGCTGACAGGAGGAAGAGATTTATAACAAAGTACTGTAATTGGGGCTTCTAGTCGTGCCCAAAGTAGAGAAGTGGCCTTACTCTAGGTTCTGAAATGCCATGGTTGAAATATGAATTTGTTCTTTGGTTATTTTTGGCTTGTACATGGTTTTTACAAACAAAAATTGTCGTTACTGAGAGTAATCAATTGCTGTCATCACATTTATTTTATGAAAGAGTAATTTGTATCATAAACCAAAAATTCACTGCCATTGAGTTGATTCTGACTCATAGCGACCCCCACTGGGTTTCCAAAGCAGTAAATCTTTATGGAAGTAGACTGCAGTCAGCTTCCTTTTGCAGAGCCGCTGGTGGGTTTGAACCACTAGCCATCAAAACTCCCTAATTTGTATCACAGGTACCTCAATTTTCTATTGTGATTGGAAACAGAATGGTAAACCAGGTTGGCCATGATTGTGGCGGGTTATATTTTATGTTCTCAGGATACCCCTGGCATTGTATCTCCTATGGAGGATTATCTGTGCAGAAGCACACTAACCTACCTCGTCATTTCTCTTGGCTAGTTGTAACATTTGCTCAGTGAATTAATTCTCTAGATTAAGGCTCCTTCTAAACAGATGAGGTCAGCATAGACTGTGTTTG